AGGTGCATTTTATGCACCTATTTTGCATGTTATTTCTGTCATTTCATAGCATTCTACTTCATAATTCTTGCATTTAGTTAATTATTTGGGCAATTGCATATTTCATTAAGAATTCCTGGTACTTCACCATTTTTTATTTATTTTGCTAGGCATTATGGAGCATGGAACATGGAGCATGGATGTATGGATGCATGGAGCTTTGGAGCATGAAGAGAAGATGAACCGGTCATTCCATGGCAGAAAACATGAAGATGAAACCCGAGTCATCGTGCATTATTATTACAGCAAAGGACTATGTTTGAAACACTATTCTTGTCACACCGACACGGGTCATGTTTGTCCTTTATCATCTTATATTTGAGCAACATGACTCGTGGTGAAGCTAGATTGAAGATGGAGCCAACAGTGAAGACTTTTTTTTTTTTTTTTTTTTTGGGATTTTAGCAAAAACCATGGGCCATGCCAAAAACACATGGTCAAGACAAATGGCCATGCCAAAAACGCATGGGCAAAAGGCATGGCCATGCTAAAAAATGCATGACCATGAACATTAATAAAGCAAGTGAAGATGTCGTCATTTCACAATAGATGGTTTTTGGAGGAGTTGAGGGCGATTCTAGGAGAATTTTTGGAGCTTTTAAGAAGACCTAATCATTGCAAACACGTTGGATTTCATTTTTGTAAGAATTAAACATTCCAATTCCATCTTTATTCTTGTTTGATTTGTTCTTAGCCATGTGTGGCTAAGAAACCCTAGTTTCTAGTTCTTGTTCAAAACATGTTGATTGCTTGACTTGAAGCATATGATTTGATGTTTGATTTGTGATTCTATTCTAGTGATTATGTTCTTGTTTAAACTAGAATCCTTAAATTTGATTTGTGTTTGATTGGCCACTTTCATGAATTGAATTTTTGTGTAGTTAATTAACTTTTAGGGCACCTAATTGTTCTATAAAGTTAATGATTGGTAACAAACAATAGGTTTTCTTATTGTAGAACATTTATCATATGTTTTCACACTTCCGAGCGTATGAGAAGAAATGAACATTGTTGGGAAGCTTGTACAAAACTTAATGCAGTTTTTCAATACAATCTAAGAGCGTGTTTAGGTTGAATTAGTAAAGCTAGGTCTAGTCAAAGAGCGTGTTTTGGTTAGATAAATTGGTAATCGAGAGGTATTAGAGCGTGTTAATACCTTCCAGTACCAGCTTAGAATAGTAATCATAAATTACATCAAGTCACAATCAGGTTAAATGACAACATTGAGAACTAGAACTGGAATCACTTTTACAATTTGTTTACAAATCTATTTCATTTTCTGCATGCTCCAAAGTTGATTGGTATTTTCATTATTTGACTTTTGCAAACAAAACCCCCTTTTGTGGCCAAAGTACCTTGCGCAAAAAGGTATAGACTTTTGTCCCGTGTCTCTGTGGTTCAACCTTGCTTGCCTTGTACTACTCTTTAGTGCATTAAAGCAGTGTATTTGGAGTCTTTTGTACTCCTATTGTTTGTTGGGTTTGACACCCCTATCACCGTCCTTATCATTTTTTTATGATTTTTGGGATTTGTACTCTGATAACTATTTTCACATTGGCATACTTTGATGTTTTGATTTGGTGATTTGATTGATTTTAGTTGATTTAAAAATGAGATTTTTATTTATGGATTTTTGGGTTGTTACATCTATCCCTATCAAAGGAAATGCATACTTTATTTAAGCGAGGTTTGTGATAACTATATAGCATATCATAGTGAAATCACAACAACCACAATCGACGAAGTTGGGAGCTCGTAGATATGTTCTCAGTTTCTATGATGTTTTAGGCAAGTGTTTCTTTATAAATATGATAATACAATTTGTCATGATTGTTCAAACATACGAGATACCTGCATATAAGGGCATATTTTAAGGAAATCATTTAACACGTGTCCCACACACTTTCACTTTACGTTTTATTAGTTGTGTTTTTGTAGTTTAGTTCCAATGTATTGCTTCTTTCAGACATATTATATTAGGATATTATTTCTTTTACTTTGTATATGTCCGATTGGAGACACATTATTGTTAAATTATGTAACAAAAACAAGATAATACATAAGTATAATATTTTAAAAACTGAGTTTTTAGTTGAACTGGTCTGATGATCGATTTTCGGTTCAACCTTTTCGATCGTTGGGTTAATTCAGTTTTTTAGAAACGTCATTTTTTTTTTGATTATAGATAGAAACTTATTAGATATTGAATACAATGAGCTATTTGTCTTTTTGAGGGTTTACAAAGTTGGTCAATATGAGTATTAAAAATAAAGTCAAATGTTATCTAATTACAAAGAATAAATATGCAACTGATTATCAAATAAAAGATAGAGGACGATTCCTTTAATATTCTAAAAAAAATAGAGATATTGAGATTTAACCTTAGCCACATATTTTTCATTTGTCACTCTAGTGCTCCAACGTACCAGTGCGGCATGATAATGTCTAATTATAAATGATTATGATTATATGACAGAGATGTATAATCATAAATGATTATACATATATGCTTGTTTACAAAGTGATTAATCATCTATGATTATGGTGGTTGGTACCGAAGGAGATGATTGTGGTATAGGTGATGGAGGTAACAGTGGTAAGGTCGGTTGGTGGTAGAGATGGTTGTGGCGGTTGTGGTGGGAGGGGAAAAGGAACAAACGATGATGTATAATCATTTATGAATATAACTTACCCGCCACAACGATACTTTCGAATGTCCGAGCAGCAAATGCGAAATATGTGACTAATGTTTAATTTCAAGATTTTTATTTTTTTTAGAATCTCAACAAAACTTAATTATGAAAGATATCTACAAAATACCTTATTTATATGTATTTTTATTTAATTTAACACGTTGGAACCGATTTTTAAACATCAAATAAGTATTTTGCATTAAATTAAGGTTTTATGTAGAAAATTTATATTATTTTAGAATTTTTTGATAAAGTTGTAATATTTTTTAAACAGAAAAATCTCAATTATTTAGTATTATTTTCTTTTAAAATCAAAATATATATTTTTCTATTAATTTAAACAAAATATTAAATAGTTATTTTTTTATTTATTAAACAAAAGTTTAATATTTTATTAAAAATTTCCAAGAGTATGGAATAAAACCCATTGTTTTTAATTTTATGTAACGGAGGTGAAGAAGATAGTTGTGATTTGTGAAGCCCCGTTACTTTTACAATCTATCCTTGCCCTACTCATTATCGCTGTGGTTTGCTCTCTATCTGCCGACTCTAAATCGCGATTTCTTTTTTGTTTATTACATTCCTACTAGTTTCAAACCCTAATTTCCGAAGCCAACAACAGCTTCATCGTCTACATCAGGTAACCCCGTAATATATCGTGCCCTACTTTATTGTTTGTATATCCGAAACGTATGTGGATCTCACTGGAGATGTTTATCTAATCTTTGCTTGCTCATTCTGTCAAATTCATTTCGGTGTCTTGAAATACACTGAACGCCATCGATTGTTGGTTTTTCACCTCATATAAGGTGTTTTCGTATCACATATATCCTTTTTGGTTAGCGTTCGAATTGGATTTCCAGATTTACTACGAGAGTAATAATCTTGTTGACATTTTTTTTGGGTGTTTTGGGATGTGAAACAGACTAAATTTTTTCATAATCATATTTAATGCTGTTATGTTCAAATGTTGATGAAGAAACAATCAATTAATCAATCTGTGTTGTTTGTGCACATTTAGGTTTATAGTGCGAGATGGCATCCGTCTCCAGTCAGCCTCAGTTCCGGTACACACAGACCCCATCCAAGGTTCTCCATTTGAGAAACTTGCCATGGGAATGCACTGAAGAGGAACTAATTGAACTTGGGAAGCCGTTTGGTAAAGTTGTGAACACAAAGTGTAATGTTGGAGCAAACAGGAATCAAGCCTTCATTGAATTTGTAAGTGTTAAATGTCAATTGGATGTATGAAAGAATCTTGAGTCTCCCTAATGCCTTCTTCTGTCAAAATTCATTATAGGCTGAACAAAATCAAGCTATAGCAATGATATCATATTATGCTTCATCATCAGAACCAGCTCAGGTGCGAGGGAAAACTGTCTACCTACAGTATTCCAACAGGCAAGAAATTGTGAACAACAAAACCTCTGCAGATGTTGCTGGAAATGTACTTCTGGTAACCATAGAGGGCAATGATGCTCGCCTTGTCAGCATTGATGTCTTACACCTGGTAAGTAATTTCACCTTTTCATGTACAACATGATTAAAGAAGGTAAGTTATACAATAAAAGTAGATAGATGATGCCAATATATATCTATAGCATTTGGTACTTGTTAGGTTGTAGCTTAAGCTTCACTGTTTGACGTCAAATGTAAATGGATCAGCAGGCCCATATCAAGGATTTATCTTCAATGGAAGAAGCTTATTGCTTGGGGAGAAAGAGCGCATGTGTGTTTGTCTCCTTTTCTCCTTTCCCCTTCCTTAACACTGCCTCTTTCTTCCTCCTCATCTCTTCCTATCCCTACACTTATTAGAGTTTAGGATATAGTCATACTTTTTATTTTGCTTTTCAGATTTTCCCTATCACATACTCTAAAAATTAATGTTCTTCTAACCATCATTACTTTGTGTATGCATTCTTTACTATATGAACTGGACAAAGTAGACATGAAACTTACCACTATAGAAGTAGTGTCAAGAATTTGGTTTAATGACTATATATACATAATAGACACATAGTCTAGGTGTGTGTGTGTGTTTTTTGTATGATGTCTTGTGCTAATTTCTTTTAATGTATATGATAGAAGCTTGGGAAGTGGAACCTGTGCTGACAGAAGTCGATTAAAACTATTGATTGGTCACCTTCTCACTAAATTGGAGATGTTCTAAATTGAAGTATTCTAATTCTTGTGCCCTATATGTTTTTTTTTTTGTTATTCAGACATTTTTATAAGCTGCCTTACTAACCCTATCAATGTTTTGCATATTACATTATACCTTTGTTTGTAGAAAAAAAAGATTCTTTGGTTAATATATCTGAATTCTTTTGTGTGTCATATTGCACTGTATGTCTTGGATAATGTTACTTATATAGCTTTTTACTCCTCAATTTCTAAATCTTTCTGTTGTATAGGTGTTTTCTGCGTTTGGTTTTGTGCATAAAATCACAACTTTTGAGAAGACAGCTGGATTTCAGGTGTGTTATTATTATTATTATTTTTAATATCTTTTAAGAATGACATGGTATGGAAGTGGGTTTATATTATATTAATATATTTTGTTTTCAGGCCCTTGTGCAGTTTACAGATTCAGAAACTGCTACTTCTGCAAAGGATGCTCTTGATGGAAGAAGTATTCCCAGGTGAGATTATATTAATATAGTATGGGTTTATGGTTATTGTTTTTAAATTGACGTTTTTGCCCCTATGGATTTGCAGGTATTTGATTCCAGAGCTTGGACCATGTTCTCTTAAGATAACATATTCTGCACATACAGATTTGAGTGTAAAATTCCAGAGTCATCGTAGCAGGTATATACGACTATTATAGCTTTCCGACTTGATTTCTTTTTATGACAGTTTTGCCCCTCTAACGTAATAATTTTATTTATTAAGGGACTATACAAATCCTATGCTTCCTGTTGCATCTTCAGCAATAGATGCTACTGGTCAGGTAAAGTCAACTTTTTGTAAAATAATAATAGCTTGAAGGATTGTTTTGTAAAATTACTCAACTTTTTGTTGTATTTTATATTTATATATTGTATGTATTTTATATTTATATATTGTATGCTTACTAGTTTGTTGCTTTTTCAGTTCAGTTTGGGTTTAGATGGAAAGAAGATTGAATCCGAGAGTAATGTTCTTCTTGCTTCTATTGAAAACATGCAGTATGCAGTCACCTTGGATGTTTTACACATGGTATATATATACAAATATTTGTGTTTTTTTTCTATTTGATCATATGTGTTTTTCATTTTTAATCTCACTTTGTTGTAAACAGGTATTTTCTGCTTTTGGGCCTGTTTTAAAGATAGCAATGTTTGACAAAAATGGTGGAGTTCAGGCTCTAATTCAATACCCTGGTGAGACTTGATTATTATAATTTTTTTTTTTTGATGACAAGTGTTGAAAAACTTATTATATAATTTTGTAAAATGTTAAAAATATTATAAATTTCAGATGTTCAGACAGCTATTGTAGCCAAGGAAGCGTTGGAAGGGCACTGTATATATGATGGAGGGTTTTGCAAGCTTCACATCTCTTATTCTCGACACACTGATCTCAGCATCAAGGTATACTGTAAAATGACCATTTTACCCTTTTCATCCCAAAAAGACAAATTTCGTAATGTTTTCATTAAACATATTTACAGGTGAACAATGACCGCAGTAGAGATTACACAGTGCCAGCTGGCGCACAGATGATGAATTCACAACCGTCCATCTTGGGGCAACAACCACCATCAGGGCCGCCACAATACGGTGGTGGTGGTGCACAGTACATCCCTGCACCAGAAGGGTACGCAGCAGCAGCAGCAGCAGCACCTCAGTCGTCAGGAGGGTGGGCCCCGGGTGCTCCAGCTGGGCCCCAGTCCATGCCAATGCATATGCAGCAACATCAACATCAACATCCGCAACAACAGATGCATAATCATCCTTACATGCCACATCAGCAGCAAGGAATGCCATCTGAAATGGGTCATGGGCCGGGTCACTATAACGGGCAGAATGGGTACCCACCACAAGGTGGGCCACCACCGCCACGTTACCATCAATAGAATCTTTAATTTACTTGTTTTTTTTTTTTTTTTTTTGTTTAATGGTGTTTTGTGTTGTGAAGATTGTTTTTCTAATTAGTGGAAGCGGTTTGCAACTGGTTTTCAGATTCTTGCATTTTGCCCGCCAAATTATGTGTGAAATTCCGAATTTGTTGGGAATTTTCCTTGTGTCATTTATTGAAAAATACAAGCTATTTTATGGTATTTTAATCAGAAAAAAATTAAAAAAATACTACTTTCATTTTCTGACTGTTAAAAGGTACTACACATCAGAATTCTTCTATTCATTTTGTTCAAATAGCCTGTAAACGTAGGTTGTAAGTCCTATGTTAGATTATTTCTTATATTGGCAAAATATTGAAAAATACATAATATTGTGTGATCATATAAATACATTAAACCCTTCAATGTTGAAAGGCATCAAACTTTTCCAATTAAATTTGTCCAAATAACCGGTAATTTTTATGTTTTTTTTTCCAGCACAACAATATCGGAGAGTTAACTAACTCAAACAAATAAAACTAGAGAAAACCATAAATTTGGTAATCGTGGCTTACTGTTTTTTTTTTTTGGTCCATATGAGTCCAAAATAACAAACTTCATCATTTTCGGTTTTTATTGTGTTTTTAGTCCATAGAACAATCCATGTTATCTCTCATTTGTTAACCCACTCCACGTATCTATCATCCGAGGGTAAAATTGTCTTTTAACTTTTCCCTTTAGCTTCACGTTGTCCTTTACCAAATGTCTCTTCTTCTATACAAGTAAGGTAAAAAAAAATCAAGCAACATGGCTGTGTGCTTTTGTGTAAGAGTCGTTATTCTGAAAATGTCATGGAAATCGCTTAACCCTGGTCGATGTTTTTTCACGTGCCCTAAATTGGTATGTCAATCTTAAAACATTATGGGTTTTTCTTACAAAAAAATCAATACATGTGTTTTCTTATTTGTGCACTAGAGATTGTTATTTTCGGAAATCACAGGAGTCAAGGTGTGGATTTCATGGATGGGTTGACCCACCCATGTGTGCAAGGTCAAATTCAATTAACCTTGGTTTGCTGATGAATATTAATAGGATGGAAGCATCGATCCAATTCTTTAATGTTGAAACAATACAGCTTAAGATTTGTTTGTTATACAATTGGGTTTTGCTTGTTTATTGCATTGGTGTATACATATAGGTGGTAATGATAAGTTTGGGGGGTTGGTTTTTTCCGGGGAAATTATGAAATCTGATTTTATGAATGCGACCTACGATCATATGTAGGTCACATGTAGTTGTAAATGTAAGGTTTATAGTAATGCTAAAGGTAATGCAAAATCTGTTTTCTAGATGATGTATTACATATGGTACCGGTTTAATTCCAATGACATACATACCAATATTACTCTTACATACAACATTAATGCTTAAACATGACAAATACTTAACCATAAAAATTGCCACAAAGTGCTACCCCAAAAGAAACCATTGTTTTTTAAACCGTATTTACCACCATGACAAAGCATAAACATTGTTCGAAGTAACATGTAATAACCTAAATGAAACCAAACTATACATCCATTTAGTTCACACCTTGGTTATGTTATTGACTACCACGTTGACCATGTGTATGACAACCACCTTGACCACCCTCTTCACTACCCCTACCTTGACATCCACATGTCTTGGAGTTATCCCCTTGTTCTTGACAACCTCCATCTCCACTGATTTGTTTTTTTACTCCTATATTGGTTTGATTTTTGATTTTGGTTCAATTTGTTATCCTTACTCCGCTTCCTCTTCTTTTTAGGCCTACAAACTTTCTTGTGATGTAGGGGAGGGGTTAATTTGGCTAGACACTAACTCATTGGCCACATACTTCTTTCTTTTATGGGTTCAACCTTAAAATTTACATGCTTTCTTCATATATCTAACCACTACACTTTATGGATCCATTTGTAAAGATCTATTGTGTGCTCAATATTCTTGTTCATTTCGTCTAGAGTTGCTATTGCATGTTTGCAAGGGATCCCTATAATTTCCCATCTCCTACAACTGCAACATATGTTTTTTTTATGTCCATAACATGCACATCCTACCATAAACCGTTGAGACATGTTGTTTAGTACCACACACACACACACACACACACACACACACACACACACACACACACACACACATATATATATATATATATATATATATATATATATATATATATATATATATATATATATATATATATATATATATATATATATATATATATATAGGGGATGGTTCACTTGAGAATAAAAAAAAGTAGAGATTTTGAGATTAAACCTTAGCCACATATTTCGTATTTGCCGCTCTAATGCTCCAACGTACCAGCAGCAACGATGTATGCGTAATCATAAATGATTATATGGTAGAGAGGTATAATCATACAGGATTATATATGTTTATACGTATATGCATAATCATAAATGATTATACATATATGTCTGTTCACAGATTGAGTAATCATAAATGATTATTACAGTTAGTCGCAGAAGAGGTAGTGGTGACAGAGGTGGCGGTGGTATAAATAATGGAGGTGACAATGGTGGGGTCGACTGGTGTCAGAGGTGGTGGTAGTGGTGGTGGCGGTGGCGGTTACGGTGGTGGGGATGGTGGCAGAGGAGAAAGGAACGGGTGACACTGTGTAATCATTTATGATTACACCAGACCTGTCGCGCCGGTACGCCGAAGGGTTAGAGCAGCAGATGTGAAATACGTGGCTGAGGTTGAATCTCAAGATCTCTATTTTATTTTTAATCTCAACGGAACCTACCTCTCTCTCTCTCTCTCTCTCTCTCTCTCTCTCTCTCTCTATATATATATATATATATATATATATATATATATATATATACTTTTCAATAAATGGTTGAACATGTAAATATATTGCTAAGCTAAAGTATACTAGCATATAGTTATCTGGTGTACCTTTGAAGTTACTCCTAGCCCAATGATGAGTGTAAATTTGATTAAGCCACCTACAAGCTTCCTTGTCATAATAGTTGATCTCTTTCTAGAAATGTTCTAATTCTAAGATAGTGGTTGCTGTAGCACGCTTCCATAGGTGTTCCTTGTACTATTTTCCTTTCCATATTTTATTGATGTGTATGAGGAAAAACTCATGTTGAACACAATGAAACATTTGTGCTAAGGCATGAATAAGACCATAAACACATTAACATACTAGTTAGTTAATATTTAATGACAAATCTATAAGTAACTACATTAATGATGTACTAACCTTTTGTATGTCAGTCACAAATGTGAAATTAGAGTGTGCATTCAAGTCCAAGTCATCATCAAGGCATTCCAAAAATCACTTTCTAAGAGGATGTGTTTTCAGGTGTTAACAATGACATATACAAGGGGGTATATGTCATTATTTGAGTCCATACCAACTACTGTAAAAATTTAACCAGGGAATGACCCTTTCATAAAGGCACCAACTAAACCTTAAAAATCTCTAATACATGCCTTAAATACTTCCTTTAAAGGACGCAAACAAACATATATTCTTTTGAAATTTCTAGTAACAAATGTTGGATTGGGTGTAGTATAAAAATCTACCTTAAAGATTGTACCTTCATTTGTGGAATGCAGCTCTAAAACATAGTTTCATAACAACTTATATGTGTAATACATGTAGATTCGGGCTAGACAATTGAAATAGAAAAAGAGATAAAAACAAATCTGTCACACCCCCAAACCAAGGATGGCGGAAACGTCTGGGGGTGGAGGACTTCATGTACAGTATCACAACAACGTGTATAATAGTGTTCAAAGTAAAAACAACCACCATATATATAATTGCAAAAGTTACACCAAAGTATATGTTTATATGCTTCAAAAGCAATTACATTATGATGACAAAATAAATTGTTGACGGTTTAGCGTTCCATCCTCAAAGCGATGAAGTTTTCCTGTTTCACTGATTTCCTGAGAATACAAGTAGTTTTAAAAAGTGTCAACACAAAGGTTGGTGAGTTCATAAGAGTTTTGTTTGAAGTAGAAACCGCTTTTCCTTGAAAAATCGATATAGTTTGATTTCTAAAAAATCAAATATTTTCTTAGTTAAGTATGAATAGAAATATTCCTATATGATGCATTAATGAACCCTAGAATGACCCGTAGAGTTCCTCTATAATCGTCCAGTGTATATAAGTTATATAAGATTTAAATTAGATAAAACGTTGAATATAGTGGGTCTGCCCTAGGTCCACAACCCAACGAGGAACAGGAGATGAGGCGGGCACCACCAATTCTAGGCCAACCAAGACTAAATTCTTATATGACTCAAACATATACACTCAGCGACTATAGTTGAAGTCTAACAATTCTAGAGGAAGAATAGTTTTAATATCAATATAACTTTGTATAGAGACCCGACACTTTGTATTTGTACCCCTAGAGATAAAAAGTGATTTTAAATCGACATAAAACTCATTTAGGTTTTAAAAATAAAATCCCGTAAACTTATGGATTGTTATATCCTATGTGAGCCGCTATAATCATACTATGACTATGTGAACCTGCCACGACGTTCTCAGGCGTCGCGAAAATTAAAATGACATTTGTCACCCGTAGACCTGCAGGTCCAACTGTAGCTAGCAGAAAGGTGTGGGGTGTCAAACCCAATATAGATCTATATACAAGTATCAAGTTGAGATTCTGATTATAACTACCAGGAATTATATCCCGCACTCGGACGTACGGGGAGAGAGAGAGAGAGAGAGAAAAATAGAGAAACTCACAATATAGGATAACAAGTTTACGTTAAATGTGTGTGAATATAAATCTTTATTGTATGAATGTACCCTTTTTGTACGAGTGTGTTGAGTGATGTATCATAAACTATACCTATTATAGTTTATCTAAAATGTATGTAATATGTATGAACTCTTTTATGGAAATGTATTAGTGTTATAAATATATTCAAACTATACTTTTTATAGTTAAATAATACGTGCTCCAATATGAATGAATAATATTTAATATGAATGTCTTAGTTTCAGTTCATAATGATAAACTAACTAGGAAACACATTCAAATATTAAA